CGAACCCCACGCTCTTCCATGAGGTGCAAGAAATCGATTCCATTTGCATCCCCTTCGTCGTAGCTCAATGCAGTGTTGCTTAAAGCAGCAAAACCGAAACGTTGACGCAGTAACTGCATGGAGAAAGGAGACAATTTTTTCAGCACAAGAACCGTGAGTATAACGAAGTAGCTTGGGATTTGGCATTACCTTGTGATGATTGGGAAAATTTTGAAGTGGGAATTTGCGTTTTGGTGGAAAAGAATAGGACTTGGGACATAGGAAGAAGAAGGGACGGAGAGTAACCATTGAGGGTAGTTGTCACAACAAAAGTGCTGTTTCGACTTCGTTCATGGAACTGTTAGAATTAACACAACTGATAACTCTTGTTTTGTTCTGCCAAGTGTCAACAACCGTTGTTTTCTCATCCACTCTCAAATGGAAAAAAAATGATGTGGTTTTAATGGAGATGAATTCTATGGTGCACCACTCCATCGTGTGGTCAATGATACACAATAAATAATTATCTTTCAATTAATATGAATTTAATTTATTATGATGCATCCTCCCACCTTGTAACAATAGTGTGAACGGTGAACCGAGAAAAGGAGGGTGAAGGAGGCAACCAAGGAGGAGCAAGAGTCACAAAGGATAAAGGGGAGGTGAATCATGTGAACAAAATGTATTGTTATGAGGGAGCACTAAAATAAATGAAAAATAGATTAATATGAGAGTTTTTATTTATGGTGCATCATAGTATATGAAACAATGATGTACTTTAAAAAGTAAAAATTTATTTTTGTAATTTAAGATGAAATTTATATTTTTAATTTTTTTATTTATTTTTAAGATTCAATTTATTCTCATTATTTTTAAAAGGTTCAATGTAATCTTTTAGGTATATTTGGTAGAGAGGGAAAAAATTCTTAATTTAATTCATTAATTTAATGTTAAATTTTCTTATTCTTGACCATGTCTTTCCATTTCATCTCCTACAATTTCTTCTCCTCCGGATAACGATTCTAGTCTATTTACCACAACTATGTTGAAAAGGAGATGTTCTTATAGTCGAGATACTTGAGGAAGCATACCAAGATGGCTTGGTTAGATGCAAATTTCATCTACATGGAAGGGTTCTTCTCATTAAGGGTCAGAAACCTCTCAAGATTGGGGAATTACATGCTAAATTGTCCAAAATCTGGTCCAAGATTGTTGGATGGAAACTCATCTCTCTTGGTAGAGGTTTCTTTGAGTTTGAATTTCAAAGAAATGTAAACCTTAAAACTAATCTTGCAATAGGACTTCGAAACTTGTATCCTGGTATTCTAAGGCTCTCATTGTGGAAAAAAGATTGAAATCCAAGGCCGCATATAACTTCTCATGTGCAAGTTTGGATGAGGATCTATGACCTGCCACAAAAATATTGTAGTCCAAGAATTATCTTTTCCATTGCCTCAATTGTGGGTGTTCCATTTTCTATTGATCAAGCCACTATGCTACACGCATATGGCCACTTTGCCCAAGTTCTTGTTGAGATTAATCTAGTAGAGGAAATTATTGAGTAAATCCTTGTTAAAAGGGAAGGTTTTGCTTTCTTTATTGCTTTGGAGTATAAGAGATTATTGAAAATTTTCTTTTCTTGTTACAAAATTGGTCATTTTATGAATTCTTGCAAGTCTGATTCAAATAATGGTGTTGTAGATAAAAGATTCAAGACAATTACATTTTTTTTAAGTTTGTTGGTACTAATAATGGCAAGCAAAACATTGTTGAATTGGGTTCCATAGTAGAAATTGTTGATGTTAGTGTTGTTGGTTTTGGAAATATAGAAAACTAAAGGAAGATAATTCTCTTTAATCAATCTAAATCTGACTTTGACTCAAAATTTGATCCTATTTTGGATCTGGTTGCTAAATCAGGTATAGATGGTAGGCAACTAGGAACTGATTCGATTACACCAACAATGAGTGATGTGCTTGATGTTAATATGCAATTAAAGATGTTGAAAACAAGGTTTAACCTTAAGCCTAATGTTGTTATTGGAAGGAAAAAGTCCATCTTTATTAAGGCTTTTCAATCTATTATTCTTGGAGCTATTGGAACTAAGCCATATGAGGGAGTTTCTAACTGGCAGCCAAGAAATGCCCCTAAGACAGATGTTGTTCCATTCTTTGGTGTTGTTGCAGATGCTGATCTAGTTAGTGATTAGGTTGTTACAAATATTTATGGCTCTATGTTTGGTGCTCAAAATTTAGATGTTGTTATAATTGTTAATCTGGTTGGTATTAATCAAAGGGTGGTTTATGCTCTTGGGGATCCTATCGTGGCAAAACAAATTTCCATCCTACCAGTTCAAGTTGTTAATCCATGTAGAGTTTTTTATTCGAGTGTTGCTGCTAAGTTGCATCATACTCACTTAGTTGCTTAAGCTATTGTTCAACCTAATGTTGATCTAATTATTGTTGCAATTATTCTTCGTGCAAACTTTGTGTCAAATCATGATGCAGACTTAGTTACTTAGGCTACTACTCAATATAATGTTGATCTAGTTATTGTTGTCAATGTTCCTAATGCAAACCTTGTTTCAGACCTTGGTGCAACATTTCTTGGTGTACAACATATTGTAGACCCTAGTTTTGATGTTGGTCCTCAACATTTTGGTGTAGTCTTGGGTTTTGTTGTAACAACAAATCCTTTCTCTATTGGGCCTACACCAATTTTGGTTTCTGGTTGTTGGGTGTGCAAGCATACATGTATTCAATGATGGATTTGATATTGGTGCTGATTTAGAACCTATGGTTGTTGCATGTGATCACGTTGACAACTAGCTAGTTAAGCCAATTTTTAATTGGTGATAAAATTGGAGTTGTTGTGGACATCGTCAAGCATAATAGATGGGACTTTATTGTAATTTCAAAGGCTAATTCAGGTTCTGATTTTGAACCTGACAATGATATGGTAGTCTCTCTTAGATTTGGTTTATTTGTTTCTAATATTGATTCAATTGTGCACAAGCAAATCTTACAACATTCAACCAGTCAAAAATTGGTTTCGTCTTTTTTGAATAATGAGGTGCCTCTTAATCCTGCAAATCTTCAAAATCCTAATAAGTTGATTGGTTTGCAGGTTCTAGCCAAGTTTTTTTACAGTTGTATCAGTATCACCTTTTGTTTCTACTGTTAGTGGCTCGTTGGAAGGCATGAATCCCTTGGAGGACATGAGCCCTATTGTTGATTAGCCTAGTTAGATTTTAGATTAGCCAATTACATTTATTTCTAATTCTCATATGGTTTAGGAGTTGTTAGATTTTGCTTCATTAGTCCGACGTGACATAATTTTACTTGTAAACATTAATTTTGATTGGAATGCCCCAATGGAGGATAACTCCTTCCAACTCAAATCTTCTACAAATCAAAAGAAAACGAAGAATCCAATGGTTGCTCTAAGGTTAGGACTAGGTCTCGAGTTTCTATGTCTACTAAATTTTCTTAATTCTTTAGAAGATTTGACTTGGAGTCTTTTAGATCTCATATTCCTCTATTTACATTTGTACTTACTTTGTATATTTGTACTTTCTCGCTTTTTTTTTTTAATGTATTTTTGTTTAGTAGGTTTGGTCCCCTATTTTGTATTTCTTTTCATTTCTTAATGATAGTTCTCCTGATATACTTCATATGATAGATGTGACGTGAGGTATTAACCTAGTTAAAATCTTTTCTTACATAATAATATTATAACACATTCACCTTTTTTTTATTTATTTATAAAAAGTAATCATAATCAAGCGTAAACATTATAAATTTATAATGAAAACTAATATTTTATTTTTACAAAGATATATATATATATATATATATTAAAAAATAATAAATTACAAAAAAAACTTTGATTCTATTATAAGTTAGTTTTTCAATTTAAATTTATTCCTTCCAATAAAAATAATAATTTTATTGATAGTTCGTCTTTAATTAATTTAATATAGTATAATTAAATTATACCAAATTGTTTATATATATATATATATTATAATATTAATATAACATAAAATATTATATCTTCCAAGCGAAAGCTGTAACCTTTTTTGGAACTACTTGCAACCATACTTTTGAAAAGATTTTATTGGATGCAAAAATACTTTCCTTTCTAATCTCCTTATATGCAGACTTGACAGAGTAAATGTCACTAGGATCAGCAGTCCAACTCCAACAGTCTTCTACTTCAACTTTCAGATTTAGCTCACTGATTTCTGTTGTAATAGAATTCAATAGATCTTCTTCCCACTGAAATAACTCTCTACGCCATCTCCAACACCACTCAGGGCCTCTATTCCTCCAAACTACCAAATATGAGATTTTAGCTTTCTTATTTTCTGCAATGAGCTACAATCTATTATACCTTTGTGACAACCTACCTCCTTGCAACCAATCTTCCTCCCAGAAATATGTATTTTTCCCATTCCCAACCACCTTTCTACACCTATTTGTCATCCAATTGTTGGTAACCATATTGTCATTTTCAATGCTACACAAGTCAGCCCACCATCTAGAACCTTTCACCCTTGACCCACTTGAAAGGAACAAATGGTCTCCATACAAGGAATTAATAACCTTTACCCACAAACTATTAGTCTCCACTAACATCCTCTATTTCCACTTTCCCAGTAATGCCAAATTGAAAGCAATTAGATCCCTGATCCCTAAACCTCCTTTGTTCTTCTCTCTACATACATCATCCCATGCTACCCAATGTATTTTTTTATGATCAGCATCCCCACCCCATAAAAAAGATTTAAATAAAGATTCAAGTTGAGAATTTATTCCTCTTGGAGCCTTGAAGAAGGAGAGGAAGTAAATTGGAATTGAATGTAGTACAGACTTTAAGAGAGTAATTCTACCACTAAAAGACAGGGAATCAGGCTTCCAACTAGATAATCTCTTTTGAATCTTCTCAATTACAGGTTGCCACGTATCTAATCGTCTCGGATTGGCACTGATTGGTAGCCCAAGATAAGTAAAAGGTAGACTCCCTATCCGACAATGCAAAAACATTGCCATTGTTTGTAGCCAAAGAGTATCCACATGGAATCCGAGTAATTGACTTTTTAAAAAGGTGATTTTTAACCCAGATGCAAGTTCAAAAAGTCTTAAGATGGATTTGATAGCCCAAATGTTTGACTTTTTTGCTTTTGCCAAGATGATAGTGTCATCTGCATACCGTAGAACATCCACCTGTTGGTTTCTCCCGACTTCATATCCCGTGAAAGTGTTCAACCGACTAGCTTTTTTGAAGAGCCCATTCAATCCTTCGACAACAATTAGGAAGAGAAAATTAAGGCATGTATTAAATAATCACAATCTAATATATAAATTTAAATTAATGTAATTATTTTGATTTAATTGACACCAATGATATATTAGATTACAAGAATTTAATGTTGTTAGGCTTAATTTGACATATAAGATCACATTAGATTTTTTTTTAAAATTAAACGATCAAATTAGATATTTTAATAAGAAAAATACAAAATTGATTAAATAAAATGAGAAATCAAAAGTTTAATTTAGCCGGTAATTCAATTTCAAAAAGCAATTGTATTTAATTTTTATCAAAAATTTTGAAAACAAAAAGGAAAATTCTAGGAATTAATTGAACCTAAAATAATTTTTCATTAAAAATCATTATCGATATATTTCTGCTGTGATTTGATTTTCAATATAATTATCTGTTTATTAATTCGAATCAGAATCTTTTCAAAAAATGTGGAAAGGATTGTTGGAGGGTATTCCGGTGGAAGAAAGCATTTTGAATTTTAATTTGCAAATTGTGGTGGGACCCAAGAAGGGAAAGGATAGCGGTGGAATTTGGACAAAAGAGTTTTGAAAACGAAAGCGATTCAATTTCAAATGAATGAGTCACTCACTCTCACTCACTTACTCACTCAGACATTCCAACAACGTTAATCCAGAAATGGAAAATAAATAAGGAACAGCTGTCATTACACAATCCCTAAAAACATGTTTAATTTTTCAAAATCTGAATGAAGCCCTAATAAGCAAAACAAACACACTCATTCAGACATTGCATCTTTTTTTTTTTTTTTTTTTCTCTCTTTCTCTCTCTACCACTCTATTGCACAACCTTTTATTTCTCTTCCTCTTGTTCTTCTTTGCTGCTGAGTGTTACTCACAATTGCACAAAACAGGTGTTTTTCTCAATTGAATTATATATTTATTTGTTGTTTTAGTCTGTTTGATTTACATTAGAAGCTGGAATATTTCTTTCTTGTGTTTTCTATTTTTTTTTTCGTCAAAATTTGTTTTTGTTTCTCTCAACTGTTGTGGGTGCCCCAAAAGATAAAAGATTGTGTTTTCAATTTTTGGTTGATTGCCAAAGATTTGAAACCGCAAGGGAAGTAATTGGGTTTGCAGTCAGTGGTTTTTTCATTATATTGTAATTATTTTTTTCAAGATTTGTACCGTCTCCTTTGCAAGATTGATAATTTTTTTTTAAATTCAAATAGTTGCCTTTTTGTCACTCGATTTTGAATTTTACAACTGTCCCAGTTATAAGATTAATGATTTATTCATTTCAGCTTCAAAACTATGAACTTAGACTATTGTTGATGAAGGGAATTAGGGTGGGGTTGGGGGTGGGGGGTGTTCTGCAATTGGAATACCCAAAGTGATATTTTTTTTTTTTTTTTGTGTTTTCTCATTGTGCTTTGCATTTGTTCATTGTCATTATTATGTTTTGCTTATGGAGTTTGCTTTTGCTTTTAGCTTCACAATGGGGAGGAGTTTGAGTCCAATGCTACAAAGAGAGATAAAAAATCTTGACAAAGATTCTGATAGCCGCAAATCTGCAATGAGGGCATTGAAGTCATATGTGAAAGATTTGGACATGAAGACAATTCCTATCTTTCTTGCGCAAGTTTCTGAGACCAAGGAATCTGGTTCCTTGTCTGGAGAATTTACAATTTCACTGTATGAGGTTCTTGCTCGGGTTCACGGAGTCAAAATTGTTCCCATGATAGACAGCATTATGCAATCCATAGTTCAGACCTTGGCTTCAAGTGCAGGGTCTTTCCCTTTCCAGCAGGCTTGCTCAAAGGTGGTTCCAGCCATAGCAAGGTATGGAATTGACCCCACAACTCCAGAAGAGAAGAAAAGACATATAATTCACTCTCTTTGTAAGCCACTTTCAGATTCTCTCTCCAGTTCTCAAGAGAGTTTGACATGTGGCGCGGCCCTTTGCTTGAAGGCTCTTGTGGATTCAGATAACTGGCGTTTTGCTTCGGATGAGATGGTTAATAGGGTTTGCCAAAATGTTGCTGTGGCATTAGAGGGGAAGTCTACTCAAACCAATTCACACATGGGTTTGGTAATGACCCTGGCAAAGCGCAATGCTTTGATTGTTGAAGCTTATGCTAGATTGCTCATACAATCTGGATTGCGAATACTAAATGGTGAACCTTTGGAGGGAAATTCTCAGAAGCTATTTGTAGCCATTCAAATGGTGAACTTTTTGATGAAATGTTTAGATCCCCGAAGCATATTTTCGGAGGTTGAACAGATAATTGAGGTGATGGATATGTGTCAATCAGACAAAATGGCTTATGTCAAAGGAGCTGCATTTGAAGCTTTGCAGACTGCTAAGATAATTGCCACTGATAAAAAATCAAGATGTGTGAAGAGTCCTGCTTCTGTAACAGGATCAAATTTCAGTAGGAAAGACTACATGGAAGGAGAAAGTTTTTCTGGTGATGGAGATCGTTCTCCTACATCTACTTCTCCAGAATCACGTTCCTTGGACTTCTTCCATGGATATGGATCCTCTATTGAGTCTTCCATTTCAACAAGTCTGCCTTCTCAGAACTTCTATGAACGAAGGAGTGTGAATAGGAAGCTTTGGAGTCATGAAAATGGAGGGGTTGATGTGTCTCTCAAGGATGGTCTATTCTCCAAGTCACAGCATGGAAATTCCTTGTTGGACCACACTATGGATCATGAATTTTCTAATGGAGGGGGAGACTTAACAAGAGAGTTTGCTGGTTTCATGCACAAAAGTCCTTGGCATGGAGTATCCAGAAGTGCCAGCACAAGTCCCCTGGTAAAGTATAACAGATATTAGTCATGTTTTGTTGAAATTCTGGAAATGAATTTGCATATGCTATATGGACAACTATACAGCCCTCCCTCACAAAAATTTATAAATATCCATTTCCAAAGTGGTTCTTTCCGTCCCTTGCATTGTTAACATGAAATAGTTGCATGTCACATTGCATAACCAATTTCAATTGTATTTTAGACTACGGAGCTTTCTTTCCCCTTCCATTTCCTAATCCCCTTTACCTTCTGTACTGCACTTCTTTGCCACTTTCAGCACTTCAATGATCTATTAGTTTTCCACTTGTTAAATGTTTCTAGTATCAGATTTTTATCTTTCTATATACTTACTGTTCTATTTTTAACCCAAACTGTTGGTTCTTTTACTCTTTAACTACTACATATCTTTGATGTTATGCTTTCTGTGTCAGCTTAATGAAAAAAATATTACATAAGGAAGATTCTTTTTTAACCATTAGTTCTCGAAATAATTTTAACAATGGTATAGTTAAAAGAAGAAAAAACCTAGGAATAGGAAGCAGAAAGAACATAGTTTTGTGTGATAATTTACTTAGCTTGATGTTTTTAGCTTTTCATGCACCATTAAAGAGTGTATTTTCATAAACATGAATGTTTCAAACGTTATGCAAACTTTTTTTAGTGGACTACTACTAAGGCTGCCGATTTTATGGGCAGTACACACAAATGATGTACTTTTGGTAATTGAAACTTAAACGATGTCTTATACTTGTCTGTGATCAAAATCACAAGTTCGTTTGAGCTAACGGATTATGTCCTCTCTCCTGTACTCAGAGATCACGCACTCAGGTTAATGTTGACAACATGAAACTCTTCATAACTCCTAGGAAGCTCATTCACTCTCTTCAAGACCCAAATGATGAGATTTCAGATTGCTCTGAGAAACCAAATAGAAGGATCAAGAGTCTATCATCAGGCAATGTTAAGTGGAGCCCAGCAACATATTCTAAATATGATCAAAATGGTATTGCAGAACATGTCAACTATGATTCTAAAGAGAATGGAAGCTTATATGGTGAAGATCAGTTCCAAGGTGGACCGGAGTCAGTCTCATCAACGGACGACTTGCTTGCTAATAATGATTTGCCAAGTCCTTCTGAGGATGTTCTTGAAAGCAGAAATGGTACTCAAACAGTTCTCATTGGAAAGCCCTTTCGAAAGACTAAACATAAATTAGTTTGTGGCCTTTCTTTTGCTCTTCTGGCAATAGCTGCTCCTTTACTATGGATCAATAGTCAGGAAGAAGGCCATTTTCTTGTCCCGACATAATCTGCTCATTCCAGCATGTAGTGTACAATCTGAGTTATATGGTTCTATGAAAGTATTTGTTAATTCCAACTAAATTTGGGAAGCTTAGTGTAGAAATAATATATCTGTAAATTGTGCACTCTCAATGTGCTTTTTATTTTTCTTGGTAGAGTCTATAAGAACTTTTGGCTGAATTCTACCTTCTAGTGGAGTGGATGCACAAATGCTGTATTGGGAATTGAATGGATCAGTTCATTTAATCAAATTTAATATAGAAGTCGAGGATATGTAGACTAGATATCATTATTTTATTTTAATTTTTGTGTAATATCTGAAGGTTTATCTCTGCTTTCATGAAAAATTTAGCCTTTTGGTTACCATATTGAACGGTTAAATTTATCATTAGAATTAAGCTTTACAAACCTTGTTGAAGACATGAGGAAAATAGAACAATTTTATCATTAGTAATTGTACAATGTTATTGTTATGCCATTTAAAATAATGGAAAATAATGAATAAATATTACCCTTTTCAATTTGTCGGTCTTCTGTATTCATCAACCCGTTGTGGTCTTACCCTTTTATCCAATTCACCAAAAATACAGCTTAAAAAGGACACCGAAATTTTACACATAAGGCATATTTGTGTCTTTTCTATCCAATTAATTTGCCTGACAATCGCAAAGTCAAGCTTATGCATCAAGATTTGGATTGTGTATATACTGCCCACATTTCCATAGATCTTCAGGACTTAGTTTTATTGGTTTGAGGATGGCAGCTTGGCCAACACATATGTAAGAATACTTGCTGTAAATTTCAACCCTAGAGCCAGGACTGAAGAGGTACATTTCATCAAATCCCTTTCTTCCAACTGACACCGAGTTTCTTCTACCCTGATAAAATCATGTGAAGAATTAAAAATAAACTATAATACTGTTGACCTATATATCATTGATGCCATAAGTGTTAGGTGTAAGCTTACATTTAATGACATAAAGCCCAAATAGATATAAACTGAAAATAGTTTGAGAGTTTCTCTCCGAAAAAAAATATATTTTATTTTAAGTAGAAATTTTTTTCTAAATTTATATACAAACAGACTCATATTAGCTAGACACTAAACTTTAATTAGAAAGTTAGTGAAGATATGGAGCTATGATTGATTTTGAAATTTTTAAATCTGTGTTGAAATTGTTGTAATCCCTATTCAATAAAATCAGAGTCTAAGGAAATGGAACTTTGAAAGTGAACTTGGTCAAAGGTAATGAATATCAAGAAGCACATAATCATATGCATAGACTACGCTGATATCACACTAGAATATAAGCCTGTTTAGATATAAGTTAAAGGTACTTCTGAGAGTTTCTCTATTAAGTTCTCTATTGGAAAAAAAAAAGCTCCTTGTTTTTAATAGAGAAACTCTCAAAAACTCTTCTAAATTTATATCCAAAGAGACTCTATTGAAAAAGACTATTGCATAAACTATGTGGGGTATATGTACAATCTCAACAATTTCTAGGGTGTTATCTAATGGCGTGAATGAAAATAGGTGAGGAGTGTGTAAGAGTGTGTATTTCTACGTATCATTATTCATTCTACCGGTTGAGAATGGTAATTACATACCCTGTCAATCACTGTAAAATTTCGTGGCGCATCTGTGTACACAAGGCTTAGTTTCTCGCTTAACTGCTTGTAGTTGTCCATTTCTTCAACCATTTCTTCATATATTTCTTCATTATTTCTTTGGCTACTTTCTGATCCATTATTCTGACTTTTTGTACCCCAGTCAGGAAAAAGTTGCTGAAATATTTTTCCAAAGCCTTCTTCCTGGTCTGAATCTGAAGGACTCAACATAAATTCTGAATCAAACAGGGGCTTGCTACAATAACTTGATCCTTCTAATCCTATTGCATAAGTTGCTTCTGGTGAGCTTACTGTCAGATGACTCAGGATGGACCCTGTCATCTGAAGGGGTAAAGACTTTTTGTTTGAGATTTCAAGCTCTGAGTTTAAGGAATCTTCTTCCAAAGTCACAATGTATTTTAATCCAATCTTTCCATCTGATGTTCTGTTTGTTAATTCTACCTGCATGAGATATCCTCAAGATTGTGTAAGTAAATAGTATTACAAAAAAATTGCAAGAAAGCAGACCACTAACTCTTACATTTTTGGATATTAATAGGCATGCTTCAATATCCTTTTGTCTAACACAAGCTAGTTCTAATTCTAGTGATACTCTAAACTCTAAAGGGAAGTTCCCATGATGTCCAAAAGAATTTGATATATTTCCTTGTCAAATGAAGATGAAATCATGGAACAAACAATGAAGAGAAAAAAAAAATTAATTGAAATACTCTGACAGTGTAATGTCATCCAGTCACAAATTCTCACATATAGTAAGTTCTTGACTTTCATAATAACAGATGTAAAAGAGGAACAGAATTCTTTAAAAAATACTGAGCGGATAATAATCGAAAGATCTAAGCAGTTTTGGATAGTTTGCATATATCAGGGTTCTTTCATTTTGCTGGTTGTGTTGAGGAAAAAAGGTTCGTCAAAAAAAAATAAAATTACACCTTACAATAAAGAGACAGTATACAATTATCATAATAAGTAAAAAGGTCTAAAAAAAATGTGTACACTAAATGATTGCATTGTCTTCATTAATTTTATAGATTTATAGATTATATAGATACAGATTACTATAAAAGTTATATCTAAATTATTTCTGATTTGCTGACATTGTAAAATCTTTATAATTACCGAGCATAAAAATTAAATATGAAAAACAATTGGAAGTTTCTTTATTATGTTACACACTTCTGAATTACATATGGGGAAACCAGACCTGAATGGATTCTTCAGCATTGCCATGAATCTTATGTATAACCCAATTAGTTGGAGACCATGAAAGTTCACCATCATCAGTTTGAAACTTGAAGTTTAGAGACACCCCTCCTTGAATGAGGGCATCACCATCCTCTCCCTCGGACACAGTAGTATGGAGCAACTCCACCTTGCCACCATGCCACATAGGAGCCTTGTATGAAGTGATCAATCCACTTGGCAGCATCATGGTCACAATGCTCCCATTTTTCAGCTCCATCTTGGCAATGCAATTCTCACCAACTCCTTCAAAGGTTACTCCATGTCCACTGAACTCCTCTTTAAGGTAGTCAAAGTTGATGGGTTGGTAAGGGACTGAGGCCACTGCAGGGAGTGGAAACCCTCTCTTGCACGGCTTGTGGGGAGTGTAACTAGCAAAAGTGTGTAGAGAAGGTGTGCTTCTAGTGATGGTTGGTGTTGGGATGAAATGAGTGGAGCAAAAGAGTGAAGTTGAAGCCATCATCATGGTCATGATTCATACCAAATGGGGTGCTGCTATACACATTGAGGAGGAAGAAGAGAACGTTTTCTTGTTCTTGTTGGCATGCCTCAAATTTGGTTTATAAGTGGATAAGGTGATGCATGTTATCTTGTTTTTGCATCTTGGATATTTCAAGATATTTTTATGGCCTTTAATTTGTCCCTTTCTAAAACACTTGGTCTTTTGTTTTCTCTTCTAAAATACTTGGCAATAATTAATGCAATATGTGGCAACTGGTACAACATTCAACTACAGGGTAGGGTAGAGATGGCATTTTTGTGCACGAAGAATATGCACCACTGATTTAATACTTCTATTAGAATTACTATATTAAAAAATTTTAATTAATAAATTTCAGTTTATGAAATTAGAAAAATGAAAATGAAAATCAATAAATTATATTGGACTAAACACACTCAAAATCAGACTAAAACCTTACAATGTTATAGACACAACAAAAGTTGCATATTTGAGATCGTAGTTTTTTTTTCTTTTTTTTTTCATGTAATGAAAAAGAATCAATAAAATTATAATATGAATGATTTTTGTCCCCCATATCAACTCCATTTTAATAATATTAAATGACTTGTTTTTTCTTTTATCATTAATTTAAAATATATGATAATTTTTATGTTATGATTTTATCGTTATTTTGAGTGTGTGTTTTTTTATACATAAAATAATAGATAAAGGATGACACTTTTATGATTATTGGATAAGAAATCAATAACATGTTATGAATATTTAAACTAAATATCATTGTTCACTTTACTTGTGTGTATTTCTCTGTATACTATAATAAAAACTCATAATAAATAATTAATAATTATATGATGCAATATTTTATACTCTTATGGTATTGATAAACTACTTGATGAGTTAATATGAAAAACTTCTTTCTAAACAAATAAGTATATAGTTCATTTTCAGAGTAATTAATTGTGATTAAAGATAAAAGTAATACAAAATAAAATAAAAAAATACAAATAAAATCCAAAAATTACAAATAAGAGTTCGATTTTGAAATTTGTCTCTCCATAAGTATTAAGTCTTGAATTCCTTTCCACCCTCTCAAATAACATCCCTCAAATAGAACTCTATCAATTACTATATTAATATTTCTAATAATTGTTTTTTGGTTACATAACATTGAATCTAATTCCGTGACTTATTTTTTGATTGATTTTATTCATGTTGCTTTACTAGCATTTATATTTTTAAAATACGTAACCTATTACGACATAGCTATTTCCTCTATTTTTACATATTAAATCATTATTTATTTTTATCATAAAACAAAATTTGGCGACATTTTATTTAAATTTAACAACCATTTTAATACAAATTTAAATACCAATGCGACGTGTGATTGCACAATACTAGTTAAAATATGATTATTAATATTATAATTTTTCATTCATCTTTAATATTATAAAAATTGCTAAAAGTTATCATTTCAATATAATATAAACAAATATAGAACAAATTGAATACTATAATTCATACCCTCATCCATATTAAATTTTACAGGTAAATATCCAACCTCGAACTCATCCCCATTGTGTGGGTAAATCCCTACTCTTGGGTATTTTTTACAATTTTCATCCCTAGCAGTCATACACAAAGGACAGTGACAACCTTGGATGGTACAAAATAAATTTGGGTGAAGTTAGTTTTCCATTTAGTACACATTAATTTATAGCTGATTGCATCGTGCAAAATGCAATAGTATAAAACTTAACCAGAGTATTCTTTACTAACATTTCCCTAAATAGATTGCAATTTGCAGGAGAAGAAAAGAGGGATGCTTTGATACTAGAGTCCTGATACCCAACAAAACTTTTATATATATATATATATATAAAATAAAAAAATCTCAAACATAGGCCAGGGCAATAATGCTCAACAAATGAACATCGTCCACTAACAACAGGGCTAAAAATAAAATGTAAATTTATAGACATCTCTTTGTATTTCATTTCATGGCAAAACAAAAATTCAAAATTTGTTAAGATCGCCACCACTACTAAAGTCTAAATAAAGAAAAACATGCCTAAGCCAAATTCAAGCCATCATGTTGACATACAAACATGACCAAAGAAAACAATCAACTCCCACAATTTTAGTCTTCATCCATGCCTGCAGGTTGCTCTCTCCTTGGACCACCAGCTGGTTTTGACATAATAATCTGAAAAAAATTAATTAAAAATCAGTTTCCATAAACTTATGCTGAGAAAAATAGACAAAATTTGCATCCAATTTCACATAAGCGGTAAAAGCAATTGTCAATAACCATCAATGGCATACCATACGCCTCAGGTTCAGTCATTTATTCCCTAACCGTTGCACATGGTAGAAACCAAAAGGTTTCATATCCTTGGAGTAACTACAATATTTCACTTCCATAATTCCATTACATTCTTTCCACTACTTAAACATGAGATGAGACAATGTAGTATACTACTGCCAGTGTAAAATCCTCTACACTAATGTACCAAAATTAACTGTGGAAAAGTATTGTGTGCTCATGATGTATAATGCAGTCTATGCACTGGAAAATTATCTTTGATTTAGCTATGGATAAATGTCTTCACAAACAGTTGAACTAAAAGTAAATAAAATGAGTTTAGGTAAAATGAATCAAACTTCTCCCTTGAGTTAAAATCAACTTAAGTACCTCAATCTATGGAAAACTTCTGAAGATGTTGAGGTACATAAGTTAATTTTAACCTGTGAGAGATGTTTGGTTCATTTTACTTTATTGGTCCGTTTTATTTTGTTTTTCCTACAGGTGTTTGTAGAGATGTTTATCCAAACTAAGCCTTAATATTTCAACTTCAAGTCTACACAAACAGCTGTTACCAAAATGTTTTTCCTATCCATCAGTGCATAAATTGAATTAATATTATGCTGTTAGGAAGTGTTTTGAGCTTTTAGAAAGAGATGAGAAAAATGGTGAGAAAAAAATGCTTTGGCGATGTTTATTGATATACAAGGAACTTGAGGAAAAGGTTCTCCTTCCAGGGCTTTCCCTTTCAACGACAGAGCAAATGCTCATTTTCTCAAATTACAACAAAACAGAAAGCTCACTTTTCTACCCTCTCCAACCATTTAAGCCAATTCCATAACTTAACGACTCTAACTGTCATACCATTCTTACTAACTCTCAACTTTTCTCTGGCCCCATCATGTGGACACAGGAATCTCCCACTGTAAAGTCAACATCACTGCTTCTAGGCATTTATGTCTATATTTTAAAGAAATTGTGAACCCTCATGCACTTTGAAGTGCCAAAGCAACAATTGCTCCATTCTGGATTATCAGATCCCGTGTCAGAATATGGCATATACATCATGTACCCATACTCTTCAATATAGTTGCTAATTTAAAGAAGCTGCACATTAGTAACATTATTCTTAACTACAGGTTTCATTTTTCCTAAGTTTCTCACTGAAAATAAATGGAACAAGACACAGCAAGAAAGGGGGAAAAGTCCACATCATCAATACAGCTTGCCCACTTTTGGATATTCCTTCAAAAATATATTTATTAACCATAAAAAAATCGTGTTTCTAAGCTTGTTTCTGGAAGAAAAATGTGCTTCTGAGGTACTTATTAATGTGGCAATCTGGAATTGACTAGGAACAATTATTTAGTTGATTACCTGGTCCACCCGAAGTACAGTGCATGCAGCATCCGCAGCATATTTAAGAGCAAAGAACCTGAACAGAAACAATAAGATGAAACTAGCCTATCAGGCAATATGAAGATAAAGTCTGATTCAACATGGTATTTCCAATCTTAGCACTTGAAAGAATAGCTCCATAATTTTTATATGACAAGGCTTTTTATAGAAATCTACATTACAATGATGAAACGCCAGTTCATTATTTACTCAAACTATGGGGTTGCCACTAGATAAAACATGCTTGTGTTAGACCAAAGCTTACTGAGTCACATGAAGATCCCAAATGCTCAAGGTTGAGACATCCTTACAAACACCTTCTTCCAAATCAATGCCAACTTTGGCATTTCCAGATGCATTTTCTGCATATAGAGAAGATATGATCTCCATTGCATTTAGCCCAGCATTCTCAGCCAAAGTTCTTGGAATCATTTCAAAACATTCAGCAAATCTTGCTATAGCATACTGATCCTACCTGCAGAGCCATTGCAAACATTTAGCCCATCACATTCTCGTGTCAAATACAAAATATGCATTGAACAAAATAGACATGGTATTGACATAACCCAATAAACTACATCAGACAGGTGATCAGAAAAGAGCCACATCCTTGAAACAGAGAAAGAGATATCCAGGATGATAATGAGTATAATAACGATGCAATAGGCATACCCGTGAACAATGCCTCGACAAAATCCATGACACTGAGATTGGTAAATGGGAGTTGGTAGGCACCTGTGATCCCATTTACTCAACTTTAAAACACCCCTCAATTACAACACTCTGATCAGAGGCCCTGGACTTCAAATTTACCACTTTTACTCCTAGCTCTAAGCTCTTCAATGTCTGCAGAGGATCTGGCTCAGCACATCCGTTCCAAACTGGCAAAATTTCTGTGACAAATTTATTAATATAATTCTTCTTGATACCCTCCTTAACAAGCTCTTCAAACTCACTGAAACTCCCTCTAATATCTAACAGAACACTGCACAATCCTTGACGATTACAATAATCCAAGATCACATCCAAATTTATTTGATCCAGAGCTACAATTTCAATTCCTTGTTGAGCCACTTCTAGAGCTATTTCTGTTTTATTGTCCGTAAAGATTATCACTTTGCCAGCAACTTCATTGATGGCAAGTGGAATTTGATTCGAAGAACTATGATCTTTATGTATTATAATCCGAATTGGTTGGTTGGCCCCAGGTTCTTGAGATGTAGGAATTGACAAATTTTCACTGAATAAGGAATAAGAGGTTATGACTGCATCATATTCTTGTAATAGCCTTGAGTAATATCCACCACAGTCTGTAACTCCATTTCCAAGTAAGTCCAAGAAGTTCCCATTGACAGAAAGAGAATATCTGCGATGCAGGAACAGGCTGAGCTATGAAATGCATGTTTATCTAAGAAAAATAACATATGTTGATCAATAAATCTAAAACCAAACACCACTATGCACCCAAAGAGCGTCTATACACAAATCGTTAATGCAAAGCAAGTGGAGGTGTCAAAGGACAGAGCTATAGTTTAATTACCTCAAAGTAAGTAAAGGCTTTCCAGTCAACATGCGATGAATATATGCCTCGTTGAGGCTCTTGCACAGTTCTTCCTCTACACCCGCAATTACTTCAATTCCTGCATCTCTCAATCTTTCCACCCCTTTGGAGGCAACTATGGGATTTGGATCCACCATCCCAACAACAACCTTTTTCACTTTGGCTTTAATTAGAGCTTCAGTGCAAGGTGGAGTCCTACCAAAATGGTTACAAGGTTCCAAGCTCACATAAGCCGTTGCGCTTTGTGCCAAATCACCAGCATCTCTCAGAGCAAACACCTGGCAATCTCATATCCTGACTCAACATACTCAGCAACAAACACAGACTCCCTATCTAAATTCTAAGGAAGAGTAACATCTAACGATCAAAGCATGTTCCCTAGAATATCTCCTAATTTCTTTTCTTACAAAAAACACCATCTAAATTCAAATTAGGCTCAAGGTTTTAAATGATTTTTAGCCACAACATTAAGAAGACATGGTATATGGAAAATTTTTACTTTTTAGAAAATCTGAAGTTAGGAATTCCCATGTGTGATTGTTATTCAAATAATAACATTCATAAGAAACATTATTTTCTGAAAATACTTTTTATACAAGTTTCTCACAAAATTATTCCCACGTGAAAGGGGGGAAAATAACATTCTCTAGTTAAAAAGAAAATTTTAATGTGGGACAAATATCGCATTACCTTTATTTGCTTATTTAATGGAGAGTGACAATATTTGATTCCTAGACAACATTTATAAATATTCCTAAAAACATTTAGGGGCTCTCTACCATATCAAGGATTTTGGGGTCTTTGCAACCATAATCGTTGCGGCCACATTTGTCACAATTTTCCACAATTCAAGGACAAAGATTTTATAAAAACAATTGGTGACCACAATTTCAGCCTCAACCGCATTAGTCTGCAATTTTCCACGATATAAGGAAATGCAATGAAATCGCAACCTAGACCGCAATTTAAAACCTTGTTTAGGCTTATCACCAGTTTAAAACACCAATTCAATGAAATCAACAGAACACAAGCACAGTACAACGAGTAGATAACAAACATACAAATTTTTCGCCAAATTTTTTTATTTTACATAACATAGAACAATTTAGAGAGATAGATAGAAAGTAGTTACCTCAGCATGAGGTTGCCCTGCTTTAGGGTGGAAGCCTTCACCAACAACTTTCCCATCTTTTACAATGACACATCCCACCAATGGATTGGGGCTGGTAAACCCAAGAGCCTTCCTTGCAAGCTCTACACATCTTCTGATGTAAAACCCATCATCATTTTCTCCTCCATTGGACCCTAAACACTGGACCCCAAAACTATCACACCTACTCCTCCTAACCCCACAACCAAAAGTCAAACTCAATCTGATTCCAACCTTGGAGGGGCTCAGGGTGGATACAAAAGATGCAAAATTTGGAGGAGTGGAATTAATTGAGAATCTGGGCACCGGAAGAGTGAAATCTGGGACTGTGAGTGAAGAACCTAGTGCTTGCATAGTGTTGTGTACGTAAAGCAAGAAGCGCGCCACAGCGAAGAGAACGCAGGTTGAAGAAAAACGTGACGGCGAGAGAAACGCAACGGCGAAGAGAACGCAAGTCGAAGAGTATGCACTGCTGATTTAATACTTCTATTAGAATTACTAGATTAAAAAATTTTCATTAATAATTTTTCAGTTTAATAAAATTAGGAAAATGAAAATCAATAAATTATATTATTGGACAACACCCACTCAAATTCGGCCTAAAACCTTACAATGTTCTAGACACAACAAAAGTTGCATATTTGAGATTTTAGTTTTTATTTTTCTTTTTCTTTTTCATGTAATGAAAAGGAATCAATAAAATTATAATATGAATGATTTTTGTCCCTATATTAATTCAATCTAATGGAAGAGCATATCTACTTTTCATATTGTTAGTATAAAATTTATTATTAGCTCCATTTTAATAATATTAAATGACTTGTTTTTCTTTTATTATTAATTTAAAGTATTTAGAATGTGATAATTTTTAGTTACCATACATTATGATTTCATTGTTATTTTAAGTATTTGTGTATTTTTTTATATATAAAATAGTAAATAAGAAATAACACTTTCATGACTACGGGATAAAACATTAATAACATGTTAAGAATCTTTAAATTAAATATCACAATTTACTTAATAGTTAGTCAAAGTTTAACAATGTTTAGCTTAATCCAAAATTTTATTTGAAAAATTGAGAATCAAAAGAGATTTATCAAAGAAATTTTATTTTTGACGTTAAAAAATTTCTTTAAGTATGTCTATCAAAATAAAAACTTGTGTATATTTACTGTATATTATAATAAAAACTCATAATAAATAATTAACAATTACAAATGATGCAATATTTTATACTCTTATGGTATTGATAAACTACTTGATGAGTTAATATGAAAAACTTCTTTCTAAACAAATAAGTATATAGTTCATTTACAAAGTAATTAATTGTGATTAAAGATAAAAATAATACAGAATAAAATAAAATAAATTACAAATAAGAGTTCGATTTTGAAATTTGCCTCTCCATAAGTATTAAGTCTTCTCTTGAACCTTTCCACCCTCGAATAGAACTCAATCAATCACTATATTAATATTTGTATTTTTTTTTTGTTACATAACATTGAATCTAATTGCATGACTTATTTTTTAGATTGATTTTATTCACGTTGCTTTAGTAGCACTTATATTTTTAAAATATGTAACCTATTACAAGATAGCTATTTACTCTATTTTTACATATTAAAATCATTATTTATTTTTATCATAAAACAAAATTTGGTGACATTTTACTTAAATTTAACAACCATTTTGATACAAATGTAAATACCAATGCGACCTGTGATTGTACAATACTAGTTTTTTTTTTAGAGGAGCACAATACTAGTTAAAATATGATTATTAATATTATAATCTTTCATTCATCTTCAATATTATAAAAATTGCTAGAAGTTACCATTTCAATATAATATAAACAAATAAACAAATATAGAACAAATTGAATACTATAATTCATACCCATCCATATTAAATTTTTCAGGTAAATATCCAACCCCAAACTCATCCCCATTGTGTGGGTAAATCCCTACTTTTGGGTATTTTTTCCTAGTATCCATGAAGTCCCAATAGAATTTTCATCCCTAGCTAGCAGTTATCTTACACAAAAGACAGTGACAACCTTGGGTTAAATTTGGGTGAAGTTTTCTATTTAGTACACATTAATTTATAGCTGATTGCATCATGCAAAATGCAATAGTAGAAAATTTCCCTAAATAGATTGCAATTTGCAGGAGAAGAAAAGAGGGATGCTTTGATAATAGAGTCCTGATATCCAACAAAACTTTTATATATATATAAAAAAATCTCAAACATAGGTCAGGGCAAAAATGCTCAACAAATGAACATCGCCACTAACAATAGGGCTAAAAATAAAATGTAAATTTACAGACATCTCTTTGTATTTCATTTCATGGCAAAACAAAATTCAAAATTTGTTAAGATCGCCACCACTACTAAAGTCTAAATAAAGAAAAACATGCCTAAGCCAAATTCAAGCCATCATGTTGACATACAAACATGACCAAAGAAAACAATCAATTCCCACAATTTTAGTCTTCATCCATGCCTGCAGGTTGCTCTCTCCTTGGACCACCAGCGGGTTTTGACATAATAATCTGACAAAATAATTAAAAATCAGTTTCCATAAATTTATGCTGAGAAAAATAGACAAAATTTGCATCCAATTTCACATAAGCTGTAAATGCAATTGTCAATAACCATCAACGGCATACCATACGCCTCAGGTTCAGTCATTTAGTCTCTAACCGTTGCACATGGTAGAAACCAAAAGGTTTCATATCCTTGGAATAACTACAATATTTCACTTCCATAATTCCATTACATTCTTTCCACTACTTAAAAACATGAGATGAAACAATGTAGTATACTACTGCCAGTGTAAAATCCTCTACACTACTGCCATTGTGTGCTCATGATGTATAATCCAGTCTATGCATTGGAAAATTATCTTTGATTTAGCTATGGATAAATGTCTTCACAAACATTTGAACTAAAAGTAAATAAGATGAATTTAGGTAAAATGAATCAAACTTCTCCCTTAAGTTAAAATCAACTTAAGTACCTCAATCTATGGAAAACTTCTGAATATGTTGAGGTACATAAGTTAATTTTAACTTGTGAGAGATGTTTGATTCATTTTACTTTATTGGTCCATTTTATTTTGTTTTTCCCACAGGTGTTTGTAGAGATGTTTATCCAAACTAAGCCTTAATATTTCAACTTCAAGTCTACACAAACAGCTGTTACCAAAATGTTTTTCCTATCCATCAGTGCATAAAATTATGTGCTGTTAGGAAGTGTTTTGAGCTTTTAGGAAGAGATGAGAAAAATGGTGAGAAAAAAAATGCTTTGGCGATGTTCATTGATATACAACGAACTTGAGGAAAAGGTTCTCCTTCCAGGGCTTTCCCTTTCTACGACAGAGCAAATGCTCAGTTTCTCAAATTACAACAAAACAGAAAGCTCACTTTTCTACCCTCTCCAACCATTTAAGCCAATTCCATAACTTTACGACTTTAACTGTCATACCATACTAACTCTCAACTTTTCTCTGGCCCCATCAAGTGGAGACAGGAATCTCCCACTGTAAAGTCAACATCACTGCTTCTAGACATTTATGTCTATATGTTAAAGAAACTGTGAACCCTCATGCACTTTGAAGTGCCAAAGCAACAATTGCTCCATTCTGGATTATCAGATCCCGTGTCAGAATATGGCACATACATCATGTACCCATACTCTTCAATATAGTTGCTAATTTACAGAAGCTGCATATTATTAACATTATTCTTAACTACAGGTTTCAATTTTCCTAAGTTTCTCACTGAAAATAAATGGGACAAGACACAACAAGTAAGGGGGAAAAGTCCACATCATCAATACAGCTTGCCCACTGTTGGATATTCCTTCAAAAATATATTTATTAACCATAAAAAAATCGTGTTTCTAAGCTTGTTTCTGAAAGAAAAATGAGCTTCTGAGGTACATATTAATGTGGCAATCTGAAATTGACTAGGAACAATTATTTAGTTGATTACCTGGTCCACCCGAAGTACAGTGCAGGCAGCATCCGCAGCATATTTAAGAGCGAAGAACCTGAACAGAAACAATAAGATGAAACTAGGCTATCAGGCAATATGAAGATAAAGTCTGATTCAACATAGTATTTCCAATCTTAGCAGTTGAAAGAATACATTAGCTCCATAATTTTTATATGACAAGGCTTTTTAGAGAAATCTACACTACAATGATGAAAAGCCAGTTCATTATTTACACAAACTATGGGGTTGCCACTAGATAAAACATGCTTGTGTTAGACCAAAGCTTACTTAGTCACATGGAGATCCCAAATGCTCAAGGTTGAGACATCCTTACAAACACCTTCTTCCAAATCAATGCCAACTTTGACATTTCCAGATGCATGTTCTGCATATAGAGAAGATATGATCTCCATTGCATTTAGCCCAGCATTCTCAGCCAAAGTTCTTGGAATCATTTCAAAACTTTCAGCAAATTTTGCTATAGCATACTGATCCAACCTGCAGAGCCATTGCAAACATTTAGTCCATCACATTCTCGTGTCAAATATCAAATATGCATTGAACAAAATAGACATGGTATTGACATAACCCAATAAACTACATCAGACAGGTGATCAGAAAAGAGCCACACCTTTGAAACAGAGAAAGAGATATCCAGGATGATAATGAGTATAATAACGATACATTAGGCATACCAGTGAATAATCCCAAAGGGCCAAAAGCCAATGAAATCCAAATACATAATAATGATTGGATGTTGAAGCATGTTGGTATCAAGATGCAGACAATTTAGTAAACAAAAATTGCCAGAGGTCCCAAAATAAACATATTAGAAACTTCTTTTTTGTTTAAAATCAAAATTAGAATAATGGTATAAGTCCACAAGTCTTCTTTACCCACATGTGCATCTCTTCAATATTGCACTTGCTAAAAAATGCTTTACATATTACAAGTTACATGGACTTCAGCATATGACTATCTGGGCTATAAAAGACAAGTATAATACTAGTATGAGAACTCCAAGGGGCAAGAGCCACGGGACTAAAGATTTCCTATAAAAGATCACATTAAGGCTCGGCCTTAAACTCTTATTTCTTTAATCTAGTTTTGGATTTATTTAACAGGGTCAGGCAAAAGATTATCACTAATTGCATGTCTTTTGCATAATATAGTTTTGATTGAGGAACAGAGGGAAGCAGTTAACTTTAAACTAGAGTGTATATTCATTGCAATTTTATCAAGTGACCAGAAAAGTATGACTTGAAAATAAACATGGGAGATGTCATACCACATGTTTCTAAGTTTAAATATCTAAGTTAAATACGACAAAAGAATGGGGAAATTAATGAGAATGTGACACAAGATTCACGGGGGATAGCTAAAATAGAGAAAGACATCAAAGGAAAACTTTATCATACTTCTATATGCCCAATTGGAGTATATGGTAAAGTTGAGCTTAGCAGAAATTAGAATGTTAAGATGAATGTGTATTACATCTGTGCACAGTTTGGTTTTTTCAAAAAAAAACACAAACGAAGCCGGACCGAACCATTTTCAAAATGGCTCAATTCGGTCCAGTTTCATTATCCACTTTATAAAAGCAGTTCTATTAACCGAACTATTTTTACGTGGTTTGGTTCGGGTTTTTCCCTCAAAAATTGGCTTTCTAATCTGGTGCAATTTAGTTTTGGATCAGTTTAGTTTGATTTTTGCATACCCTTGATGTGTGGCCTCACCAAAAAGGACAAGATACAAAAATGATTGTACACGAGAAGATATTGGTGCAACACCAATTGAAGAAAAGATGATAGTGAGTCAGTTAAGGTAGTTTGGATACAAAAAAAGTCAACTAGAAGTATCATTGAGAATAAAAGATTGCATGGTTTTAGTCATGTTAAAAGGAGACCAAGGACATTGGAGGAAGTTATTAGGAGGAATCTGATAGTGAATAAGCCTTATCTGAAGATTTGGTCTATAATCTAAGCCAAATGACATCGTGTGATTCATGTAGCCAACCTCACCCTAGTAAGATAAGGCTTTTTTGTTGAGGTATACTTCTAAAAACATCTTGACATGTAATTATGCTCACGCTTCATACTCCACAAATGGAAATATGTAAACATAAAATTGGAAACAATATGCCATAACCATATGCCAAAAATCATACAAACAAAACCCCTCCTGTAATTAAAATATCTAAATAATGAGTGAAAAAGGCTTCTGCATGAAAAAAACACAGCAATGTATCCCCAAGAATGCAAACCACTCTCTTTTACAGTGAAAAGGGAAATAAAAGTACCCTGTCTCCTTGAAGGAAAAATCTTTCACCCTTTTAGCTAACTCAATTTCAGTTGCTGCAGCTCCAGGTACAATACGGCTATCCCTGCACATGGCCTGATAAATAATTGCATATAAAAAGACTAATCAGTATTTCAAATAAAAATTGCTTAAACATGAATTTTTTTTTTAAAGAAAATAAATGGCCTTCAAAATTGCAATCCAAGATCCTTAAGTTTGCAGCCATATTTTTACAAGACTGATGGAGGGAAACATCAGAAAAATTACCTTTTCAAGATCATTAGAAATTACAAAACATAGGAAATTACCTTGTATGTGTTCACTCCATCATCAACTGCTCTTTCAAGATCATCTAGTATACTATCGGTACTTCCTCGTAGAACAACAGTGGCCACAGAATTTCCACCCTCTTCATTTTTCACAACGATCACCTGCATATCATATCATCATCAAAAAAAAGAGGAAATTGCATGCTATACTTGGAAATGAGAAGAACAAAAAAAAGGGGGAATAAGCTAATATATAAAAGACATATGGAACCAAAAAAATGACAGAACCCAAACAATCCGGTTTTAACATACCCTAACACCACCAATTTCCTCAACTGAAACAGAATCTACATATCCAAGATCATCTGGATTTGGTTGGCCAAGTTTCAGCTATTACAGGAAAATAAAATGAGTTAGACAGAAAGTAGGAAACGCCATTATGTAGAGGAATAATCAAAAGCACAAACCATAGCAATAGAACCAGTTGTCCGGCAAAATCGACGTAGTTCAAACTTTGAGCTGATTTTGAGAACCATAAGTCTACAAGCAGGAATTTTGAAATTAGAAAACAATCTACACTTGTACACTTGCAACATTCATATTAATTCAACAGAAAGAGACAATTAAACAATCAAACATGGATAAAAACTTAACGTACTTGTAACGCTCACAAAAATGCAAAGCCATCTCTCCTACTGATCCTCCACTGACAATCACTTTGGCACCAGAATCTGCTACTGCTTTGATTAGCTCCTCAACTTTAGCCTCTTCAGTTTTTGAATAATTTTCTAGCTATATAAATCAAAATTAAGATAACAATTCCAATTAGCAAAAGCATCAAATAATAGAAATCAAAACATGAGGAATATCTTGGTCCATAAAATCTCAAGGCTTCACTAGTACATCAGGTAACAAATAAAGTCATTGCCTAATCTAGCAAGAAACAGTTGAAAGCAAAATAATAAGTAGTCCTAAAAGTTATTTGCCAAATTGTTTACAAGTTTAAATTTACACTCAAATTTTTCCACTTTCCCATCAAATCTCTAGCAACAAATCACTTCAAATAAAGTTCAGCATGACAGCAATAGATGAAGGCATAAATAAAGGCACAGTTTGAGAAATCCCATGCTAGTATGCATTAAAGAAGTAAGCATGGTTGTCAATATCTAGTGACAACTCGTAAACTCGTACGAGTTTACGAGTTTACAAGAGCTTACCTGTACAACTCGGAGGTAAACTCGTTTTTTAGTGAACTCGGAGCAATCTCGGTGAACTCGGGTAAACTCGTGTAAACTCGCGAGATTACCTCCGATATTAAGAGATCACTGTTTTTTTTTTTCCACTTACACAAAACGCACGTTTTGTGTTGTGTGTTAGGGCACTTTCGTCTCCTACTCTCCTCTCCACTCCAGACCTCCGCAGCGCCTCTTCCACGGCTCTCCTCCTTCGCGCCTCACCTCCTTCGCGCGCCTCACCTCCTTCGCGCGCCTCACCTCCTCCGCGCGCCTCACCTCCTTCGTGCGACACCTCCGCGCGTCTCCTCTCCTCTCCGCGCGACACCTCTGCGAGTCTCCTCTCCTCTCCGGCGAATCTCCGCCGATCTATCCTCTCTGACAGTGGCTCTGTCTTCCCCGACATCTGCAGATCTGTCTTCTTCTAAGAGGGAAGGCAGCGGCGACGGCTTGAGGAAGGATTGCATTGCAGGAAAAATAATTAGGGTTGGAATATGGGCCAAATGGGCCAAGTTTTATTTTTTGTTTTGATTTGGTTAAGAGGGTTTTTACTTCATTATTTTTTTTAGAAAGTAACCTCTCTTTATTAATTATTAATTATTATTATTATAATTTAGATAATATTTTAAGTAATACAAAATTTAATATAAGACCTTAAATATTTTGTTTTCTTAATTTTTTTATTTTGTTTAACTACTATAAATTTTTATTATTAAAAATATTTAATGTATAAATAGTTATATTTTTATTTTTATATGTATATTATTAATTATTTGTATTATAAATTATCTAATATTTATATATATATATATATAAATAAATTAGAATAGTGTAATCCTGCTATATTTAATAAATTATTTTATTATTAATATAATTTGTTATTTTACTCTTTAATATAAAGTTAAAATGTTTAATTATTATATAATTTTTAATTATTTTTATAATTTTGTTTATTGAGTAATCTCTTACGAGTTTACGAGACGAGTTTACGATACGAGTTTACGGAGCCTTCACGAGATTACGTAAACTCTCGAGATTGACAACCTTGGAAGTAAGGCCTCAAGCTGAAGAATCTAACTGATGCTATATACACATTATATAAAAACATTGCACTTAAAACATGATTATAGCTTAGCATTACAAATACATAGCAGATTTGATCATAGAGCTGAAAAAGCATCCTCAGTTCTTTATCAACTTGAATTAACAATTGATCAACAATGTTATTAATGACGGATAGTGTAAGGCCAAAATTTTGCCATATAAACACACCATTGCACCCTATGGCACCACCATAGCAGGCCTCCCTTCACAAATTGCCTATGGCAGTTGGCAAAACACCGCCAAGCCATTCTTCTATAGCAGCAATGGTGCCACCATTTAACAACAATGTTGACCAAGTATTACAGACCTGTTAGGCTATTAAATATTTTGAGTTTTAACAATTAGCAAAATATGTAGAAACAATAAAGCATGCAAATGAACTCAGAAACTTCATCAACAATGTCACCTCACAAAATCTACAAGTCGATAATGACATGGCCCAAAATAATATCTTATTAGAGCCATTCCGATTTTCAGGGGGATTAAACTTAAAACTATGTGAGAAGAAACAATGACACAAGTTTACAATCAGCATTACTGCATTAGGATTTAGCATAATCCACTTTCAACCTTCTTATTTAAGAGAGGAAATAGATCTCTAGCTCATACCAGAAAACACAAATAGGCTTCACCACTCAAACAACCAAATTCAGAACTCTAGACATTTTCATATACCTGCTCAGCTGTATGTATGAGGACAGTTCCTTTAGTTTCAGTTGCAGATGTATCAACACCACCAGCAAACACAGCAACCTTGAACAGAACAGACAAAAGGCCTCAGTACTAGATAATACAAATTTGCCAATATCTTTTCATTGGGGAAAAAAAATGATATATTGATTTTTTTTATCAAATCAGATCAATATAGAAACAGATATTGCTCATGATGCTAGGAAAATATACAAGTCAACAAAAAAGGATAGTGAGAGAAAAAATAACTTTTTTGAAATGACTAGAGCTTTAAAGTTGAACTATATAATTTCAACATACATGAGGCACCAATAATTCTGTATAAGTAGTAGGTAATAGTCGGCCAAATACATCTCAAAATCAGCCAATCCATTATATCAATAAAAGAAAACCAACCAATCCATACTTCTATTCAATCCTTTGCTACTTAGGTAGTATGTGTAGACTTGAATTTAAAGCCTCAAACAAATCCAAAAGGGACACGATTAAATAAATTATGTATTGTGATAGGGTAGACAATGACAGTTGCTTCATCATAGAACACTACTAAAAATCAAGTGCTGTTGAATGGTGGGTTTCCAATTGTTTAAGTCTCAGTGAGAATGTGAGACAGAGAAAGTGGTGGTAAGGTGGAGATCAGTGTTATTAAATAACCGTTATGGCGGCGCCATAATGGCGTGGCGGCGGCGGCCGCAATCCGTTATGGCAGTTTAGGGTGTTTATGGCGGGGTTTCGCCATTTTGGAGATGGCGGCCGTTACGGCAGGTTTTGCATGGCAGTTCGTGGCGTGAATGGCTGACATGGCGTCGTTTTTGGGCCATTTTTTTTTTGTTTTTCGTTTTGGGCCTTTTTTTTTTATTTTCTGGTTTGGGCCCGGGTTTGTTTTCCGGGTTGGGCACCCAACAGATGAAATAGGGCATTAGAAACCCTAAATCAATTAGAGTCCCTTTCGTGCAAACCTCCCCCCCGTGACTGCGCTGACTGCCACGCCGCATCTGCCACCGTTGCCGACGACGCAACCGCCACCGTCGCCTCCGACTCAACCGCCGCTGTCGCCTCCGACGCAGCTGCCACTGTTGCCGCCTCCGACGCAGCCGCCACCATCACGTGAGAAGTGAGTTTCTTCTCCTCCTCCGCTTGCATCACTGTCATGCCACCATAACCTCCGCCACCACCGCCGCTGCCTCCGCGCACACCACCCTAGCCTCCCCACGAGCCACCACCACCTTCGCCGTCACCTCTGCGCGCCACCGTGACCTATGACCACACCATCGTGACCTCCGACGAGATTTTCTTCCTCCTCCTTTGAGTTTTTCCATCACCACTGCCACCACATCCGACAATCCGACAACGTCAGGGGAGGCAGATTCAAACTCTCGGCCACCCACAATGTCATCTTCTAGTTCCATTAATTCTAAGAGGAGTGACGTTGCTTGGAAGCATTGTACACCGGTCAGAGAGAATGATACAAATGAGATTCTTTGTAATTATTGCCGGAAGGTTATGAAAAGAGGTATCACAAGGGTGAAACAACATTTGATTGTCAAAGTTGAAATAAGGGCAACTATGGATGGTAAGAAGCATAGGCAAAATGAAGCATTCAAGAAGGCAATGCAAGAGATTGAGGTACAATGTGAAGAAGGATTTATGGAATTTGGAGGTTCTGATTCTCGATTACCTCCAATTGGTGATTTTAGATTGAAGGATATTAGGAAGGGACCTATGGACCTTTACAATCAACCTCAATCTACAGCTGCAAAAAATAGGAAAGACAAGGTGGTGCAAGCGGGCATAAGAGAGCTTTGTGATAAAAAAGCTGTAGAAAGGGTTTACCAATATATAGCACGCTTTTGGTATCAAGCTAGCATATCTTTCAACTTGATAAACTTGGAAAGTTTTCAAGATATGATTCATGAAATTGGGCATTTTGGGAAGCATTTGAAAGCTCCTTCCTATCATGACATTAGAGTACCACTCCTTCAAAAAGAAGTGGAGTTCACTAATGAATTAATGAAGCCACTAAAATATCAATGGGCAAGTTTTGGGTGTTCCTTAATGTCAGATGCTTGGACTGATAGGAAACAAAGAAGCATAATCAACTTTTTGGTGAACTCCTCTTCTGGGACAATGTTCTTAAGGTCGGTTGATGCATCTGATTATGTAAAGACCGGTGAAAAGATATTTGAGTTGCTGGATTCTATTGTGGAGGAGATTGGAGAGGAAAAGGTTGTCCAAGTTATAACGGACAACGGAAGTAATTATGTTCTTGCTGGTAGGTTGCTAGAGGAGAAAAGAAAAAAAATTTATTGGACTCCTTGTGTTGCACATTGTATAGATTTGATGTTAGAGGACATTGGCAAGTTGCCCCATATAAAGAAGACCATTCAGCGAGCTATCTCTCTTGTTGGCTTCATTTATAGCCATTCAAGCACTTTGAGCATGTTGAGGTTCCTTACTGGGGGGAGGGAATTAGTCAGGCATGCAATAACTCGATTTGCCACATCTTATCTTTCCTTGGAGAGGATTCATCAAGAGAAAACTAATCTTCGAAAGATGTTTGTGTCAGAAGAGTGGAATGAAAACAAGCTAGCAAAGGAGGCCACAAAAACTGTATTGATGCCTAGTTTCTGGAAGAATGTAGTTTTCATTCTGAAAGTGATGGCTCCTCTTGTAAAAGTGCTTAGGCTTGTGGATAGTGAGAAAAAACCGGCCATGGGCTACATATATGAGGCAATGGACAAGGCAAAGGAAACCATTATGAAATCTTTTAAAAATGAAAGCAAATACAAGGATGTGTTTGAAATCATTGATAAAAGATGGGATATTCAGCTTCATCGCCCTTTACATGCTGCTGGTCACTTTTTGAACCCAGAGTTCTTTTATGCCAACCCACAGATGGAGTTTAATGGTGAGATTATTAGGGGTTTGTATGATTGTATCAATAAATTGCTGGGAGATTTGGAGATGGAAAAGACTGTTCATAAGGAGTTGGCTCACTATAAAGCTGCGAGTGGTATGTTTGGGTGCACAACTGCCATAGCAATGAGGGGTGAAGTTGCACCGGGTAAGAGACAAAACATTGCAACTTTTGAACTATTATTCTCTAAGTCATAAAGTCATTTGCTCAAGTGTTTGTGTTAACATATTTTGTTTGCATTTGTAGCTCAATGGTGGCGGATGTATGGTTCAGATACTCCATATTTGCAACAACTTGCAATAAGGATCCTTAGCTTGACATGTAGTGCTTCGGGTTGTGAACGTAATTGGAGCGTCTTTGAGCAAGTAATTAATTTCTTAATTCCAATTTAAAATTAATAATCAATGTTTTGCTTATTATTCCTTAAGTAATAAGTATTTATTTAATTGTTTTAGGTTCATACCAAGAGAAGGAATAGACTCGAGCATAAAAGACTACATGACTTGGTATTTGTCAAGTATAATCAAGCACTCCATCAAAGGTATAACCTTAAGGATGAAATCGATCCCATTAGTCTCAATGGGATTGATGATTGCAATGAGTGGCTAATTGGAGAGATGGATGAGGAAGAAGGTGAAGATGAGAGGGTTCATGAAGGAGATGATGACCTTACTTGGAGACAAGTTTATCAAGCTTCAGGACTTGATGAGCCTAGACAATACACTAGGCGTCACAAAAGGAGAGGAGCAAGTGGGGAGGAGCAAGTAGGAACATCTACTAATCCTTCTAAAAGAGCCAAAGGATTAGCTTCAAAGAATAAGGGGAAAAGGGTTGAAGAAGTTGAGACATCAGAGGATTCTAGCTCTAGCAGTGAGGAGGAGGAACCAAATGCTAATCTCATACATTCAGATGGAGAAGAAGCTGAAGGATTTTTGAATGAAAAACATCATCATGTAGAAATTAATTATGCAGACATTGATGAGGATGAAGAGTGAAGGGGATTAAACAAAATAGTTTTAGGAATGACAATTGTGTTTTGCTATTTTTTAACATTGTTGCTTTGTTTTGATGGCTGTTTTTGTTTATGTTTATGTTTCTTAATGTGGCTGTGTTTGTTATTTTTCTGCTTTTGCATCATATATATATTTTTTTTTTTTTTGTCCGCCATAGACCGCCATGGCATCCGCCATGGCAATATGGCACTTAAAGGTCCTTGCCACCATCCGCCGTATAACCTTATTGATAACCTTGGTGGAGATGCAGTTTGGGAGGACATATGGGTCATTGATAGCTTACATGGAGGAGACTTGAAGTGAATCTCTATAGTTGCAACTAAGAGGTAGAATGCATTTGCTTCTTTGCACAACATATAATGTCAAATGAAATGCAACAATACCTCCCCGTTGGGAAAAAAGATAACAAGTAGCAATGACCAATGAAGAAAACTTAAAACTGAATAAAAGCAAACAATGGAAAGGAAGGATAAAGATGTGGATGCATTTCAATAGGTTTCCTTGTTTCACCCTCAAGACTAGATAGAACCCCTGTTTCCAACTCATTGTTGCAGTTGATTGGAATTATTTTGGAAGGAATGGGAAAGAATGAAGAAAATAATAAATGGACAAACTTGTTGACATTTAAAAGTTGGGGGACTATATTGAAACAGTGTAAGCTATATTAGAACACAACTTACACCACTACCAGAGTTATTAAGTGAGTTGGAGGAGCTAACAGAAAGGATTAACTTGTTGAAAACTTAAAAAAGCAGGTAAAACTGAAAGTCTAAACCCTAAATACCCATCCCATTAATCAAAAATATTAAAATAATTAACCAATGAAGGACACACACTGCACAAGCAATCCAGAGAGTATATGGATCTAAACCATCTAGCACAGAGGTTTGGAAAACAACAAATTTGAAACATCTCAAAGTTGTAAAGGATCTCATTCTCAACAAACAAACTATACAGTAGACTCTCAAATAAAACTAAAAATATTCCAACAGATAGAAAGCTCACCTTTGCCTTTTCTGCATGCTTTATAGTTCCGACAGCATCACTTTTCAAAACCATTCCTCGAACTACTGTACTGTTATGCAAACCCCCTCCCAAGAGCTTTGCAACACGGACATTGTCTACATTAAAGTTTGCAGGGTTTTTTGGACACACTTGGATGCATGCCTATATTTTCCAAATAGATCAGAATGTAAACAGTGTTGTGCTACCAAAGCATTTTATCAAGGTAAAATGGGTAAATTAGGATATACTCACATCAGAAACAAGTGAGCATATGGTATCTTCTAGACCAAATTGCTTGCTAGCAACGGCTGCTTTCATTCGAGAAATAACTTGCTCCTTATTGCGAACATCCATATTCTCTGAACCATCCTCGACCAGTTCATCCAATATTTGAACAGTCTGAAACAAGAAAAAAAAAATTAGAAGGGAGAGAGAAGGGCAGTATGACATTTAAAGACAAATCAATAAGACTAAGGCTGTAGTCAACAACTATGAGACATGATAATGTGATATGATAATGCATAGAGTCTTGATTTACTGCATCATTTGCATAAATGTTTTTAAAGGTACGATATGAAATACACCGCTAGGGAAGGCCCTTCGGGTGAAACATCCCGGAGGAGTCCCAGGGGATGGCCTGGTGTGGGAGGCGCAGGTCTGGTCCTGCATGTTCCGG